CCTCCTTTCCCTTCCCTTTGGCCCTGTGGCAGGTCTGCCATCCCTCACCGTCTCCCTGGTCCTTCCAGGCCAGGAGTACCGGATGTACAACACCTACGATGTCCACTTCTACGCCTCCTTTGCTCTCGTCATGCTGTGGCCCAAGCTGCAGATCAGCCTGCAGTATGACATTGGTGAGTGACCCAGGAGACCCTGGCTTAATGCCTGCTGATGTCTTCACTTAAAGAAGAGATGGGGGATTTGGGACAGCATCTGCCATAGAAATCTGTGCTGTGGAACCAGCAGCCCCCTTCAGCTCCTCTGCTGGGCCCAGGACTTGCAAACCCACAACGTTGCTGCCTCTCAGCATCTCTCTGCCCAGCACTGGAATGCTTTCTTGCTGCACTGGGCTTGCACAGCTGGCTCTGCTTCCCCTGGGGGATTCCCTGGTCTTACAGCTCTCTCCGTGCCCCTTGCAGAGGAGAAGCGTGGAGCTGTTTGCAGACTCTGATCCTTTGGGTGGGCTTGGAGGCTGCTCAGTGGTGGCCTGACCAGTGGTGGAGCATAGCCCTTTGCTGGGCTGTGGGAGGGCTGAACCCACTGGGTTTCCCTCCAGCCCTGGGTGCTGCTACCACCTTGCTTAAGGAGGTGGTGGCAGTTGCACGTTCCCTGCTGAGGGGAGACTGGGAGCAGCCCGGTGTCCCCCCAGGCCTTTGCAGAGGGCTGTGATCTTGCAGCCGGAGCCCCAAAAGGCAGCCTGGCATGCTGGTGCCGGTGGCCCCTGCCTGTGCCTGTGCTCGGAGCTTGCTGCTGCAGTGCCTGCTGCCTTTCTAATGTCTCTTGCTCTGTGTCGTCTTCAGCTGTAACAGTGGTGAACGAGGATGTCCAGCCTCGGCAGTACTTGATGTGTGGTCAGACAGCCCAGGTGAAGCTGAAGAACGTGGTGCCGCACGACATTGGGGACCCAGGTGAGGGGTCTGGCCAGGCCTGCTGGGGGGCAGAGGGGGTGCAGGGCTGCTCACACAATTTTCTCAGGGTAGTTAACTCCCAAGCTGTGGGAAAGAGGTATGCTGCATGGAATATGCTGTTTGTTTTCTGGGAATGAAAAGCTTGGATGTTTTGGAGTAGTGATGAAGACCACACTGCATGGATCTTGTAGAAGGGAGATGGAGGGAAGCTGAGCAGTAGCGGGAAAGCTGCTCTCACTAGAGATAGCACAGGGTGCAACGTGTTATTTTAGTGCCGTTTGGTCACAGCACCCTTTGGACCTTGCTCCTGGGTAGGAGGGGGGACGTCCGTTGCTTGCTGCCCTGCTGCATCTGCTCTGTCCTTGCTTAGCTGACGAGCCGTGGCAGCGTGTCAATGCCTACCTGATGCACGACACGGCCGACTGGAAGGACCTCAACCTGAAGTTTGTGCTGCAGGTGTACCGCGACTACTACCTGACACGCGACTCCCTGTACTTGCGGGACATGTGGCCAGTCTGCCAGGTACTGAGAGGAGATCAGACCATGGGGCATCCCCCCCTTCTCACTTCCCTTGGGAGCCGTGTGACATCCCAAGAGGATGGATGCTCCCGAGCAGAGTGTGGGGCGCAGCCAGGACACAGGGGCTGCATGACCATCTCCTGCCTCTCCCGCAGGCTGTGATGGAGTCAGAGCTGAAGTTTGATACAGATAACGATGGGCTTATCGAAAATGGTGGCTTTGCTGACCAGACATACGACGCGTGGGTGGTAAATGGAGCCAGGTGAGCAAGAGAGGCAGGTGGGGGTTGGAGATGGGGAGTGTGGGGAGGTAGCTCAGAGCTGGGACCGTGGTCCCCATAGCTTGTGGAAGCTCCGTGCAAGCTGTGGGGTGTCCCATGTTGCCGACGCTGCTCTCCTTTTGCTCCGGCAGCGCGTACTGTGGCGGGCTGTGGCTGGCAGCCGTCTGCATGATGTGCAAGATGGCAGAGGTGCTCGGGGATGCTGAGATCCAGCAGAAGTACACGGACATCCTGAGCAAGGGCAAGGAGGCATTTGAGAGGATGCTCTGGAATGGTGGGTGCTCGCTCGCTGGCTGTATGTCCCTTGGGAGGGAGACAGCTCCAACTTGGGTCACGGAGCCTTGCAGGGGATGGGGGAAGGAGGGGAGATGCCATCCCTCCAAGTGGAGGGGAAGGAGCAGGTACCAGGGAGGGAACAGAAAAGGTATGGTGGTTTGGGAAAGGAAAGAGAGGAGAGCCTTCTGGAAAAAGCTGCCATGCTCCTGCCTCATGGGGTGGAGTGTAGGGACAGCACATGTGAGCTGGGGTCCTAAGCTACGGATTTAAAACTCTTTCCTGCCTTTTTTCCAGGAAAATACTACAACTATGACAGCAGTGGGAGTGACACCTCCAGCAGCATCATGTCAGACCAGTGTGCCGGGCAGTGGTTTCTTGGGGCTTGTGGTCTGGACCAAGGGGAGTTTGAGGTAAGAAGGGGCAGCCTGGTGCACGGTGGGGTGAGATGGGACCTGTGCCTGGAGGAGAGCAGCAGGGCTGGCACACGGTGTGGGTTAAGCATTAAGGGCTGTTGCAGGGGCTTCAGCCTGCTCCCCTGCAGTGGTGCATGCTCAGGTGGAGGCTGTTAGATGCACATCAGTGCAACCTGCCTTAAACCAAGATCTGCTCATGGAGAGGCCATGCAACAGGGGTGTGTAACTGCAGTCAGCTCTGGCACATGTGGAGGAAGGTCACACTGGGGTTTGCTCTTGGCAGGGCACTATTTGTTTAAAAATAGGACAAAACAGTGCATGAAACTTTCCATGTGTTATTTGCTGCCCAGTTTAAAGTCCTAAATGAATATCCAAGGGAACTAAGGCTTGTTCGGGGCCCTAAAGTCTGTTGGTCTTCAGTTGCAAGAAAAGAACTTGCTGAAGACTCCCCTTGTCTGATGGGATGGTAAGAGCAGCTGCTGATGGTGCAATACCTGGAACAGAGCTGGGAAGCAGAGAGCCATCATATGGATTATTTATGACCCATAGACAGTTGTCAGACCAAAGCTGTCTGTGGTGGTAATGGACAGGCAAACGCTTCAGCTGACTGAAGGAAGGAGTGACTCTTGGCTGTGTGAGGGTGATGGACCATTTCACTGTCTGTTGGTACCAGAGGGGAGCTTCAGGTGACCTTTCTTGGGAGCAGCTTGCACTGAACACTGGGATTTAATGAGAAATGGGTGCTTGGTTGTGCCCTCCTGCATTTATCCCAGTGTGGGGACTGGGGCTGTGCCTGGGGCTCCAGGCAGCACCTCATGCAGGAATACCCGAACATCCCTTTTGGGGGGAAACAGTAAATCTGGTGCAGTCCAAAAATCTCGCTTGCCTTGGACTTTTCTTGCTGAAGGTGGCAGTCTTCTCTGCTGACTGGTGAGCTTTGAGCTCAATGGAGATGGGACTGGTGAACTTCTCTCTTCTGTTACTACAGCCATCAAGGGTTTTTTTCCCCATGTATTGTGATCCCTTGCCTGGCTGGCAGCATTCCTGTTTGTAACCTCATTAAGGCACTCCTGCTGTGTGCACAGGTCAGTAATGAAATACAAAGCCTGTGACCCCAGTCCTGAAGAAACTGTGCCCCAAAACCTTCTGCCAGAGACATCTGCTTCACACCACCCTTCTGCTGACTCCTGCTCCCTAACAGCACTGGGGCTTACCTCCAGAGCCATACCAGGAAAAACGACTGTGTCAGATGCTTGGTTTTAGTGCAGATAAAAGGGATCTGCTGCCTTTCCTTTGAGTCTACCAAAGCCGTCTGGTTGGGCTGCCCAGCCTACCTTGGCAAGCTCCCGTCTGGTGTCATCACACCTCCCACTTCCCCTGACTCTGGTGGCACCAGACTGGCAGGAAAGGTCTGGCACATCCCTGGGCTGTGCCCGTGAGCCAGGAGCTGCTGGGCTTTTCCCTTCCTTGCAAGTAGATGTCATGGCTGCTCCATGGCATTGCTCCTGATCTTGGTCACCCTGCAAAGTTCTTGTTCTGGCTTTCTCACCATTAGGTAGGCGTGGGGTGGAGAGGAGCCAGCCGTCCCCTTGCAACATCAGAGTCTTGAGCTTTCCTTTTCTGAGGCAGGGACTTCTGCTGCGCTGACACTTCCTAGTTTTATTGCCAATAATGAAAGCAGGGCAAAAGCTTTATTTACTTTCAGCTGTGCACAGAGGCTTTTCATCTTAACGGAGCCCTTGCTGTGTTGCTGCTCCACTGCTTTTTGCTTGTCTGGCAGGTGTTTTCGTGCTCAGGTGGGGTTGATTGGTTTTTGTTGGGTTTTGTTTGGGGCTTTTTTGGTTTTTTTTTTGTTTTTTTTTGGTTTTTTTTTTTTTGGCAAGAGCCTACTCAGCATGGTACTTCAGTCTGTTCTCATAACTGTGTTGAGCTCTTGGCCTTAATTTGTTGAACACCTTTTTTTTTCCACCTTATCAGAGGGGGGAAGGTTTTTAATTCCTTCTGATAAACTCCTGAAATGGTTGTTTATCCAGCGAGCACTATTGACCTTTTGTGGGACTTTTTAACTTCCACTTGGGATAAAAGTTTCAAATCTCTCCTACCAGACACAGAAAACTATCAGATATCTCAGGCATGACAGTATGACCTCTTCATCCTCAGGCTGCCCCTTCTCTAGCCTCAAACTCCCCTTGGTCCAGGCCATGAACTCTTGCATCACCACCCAGTTACAAAATTGGAAGGATTAACATCATTTTGAAGTCGTTCAAAACTAAGCCCTGTTTGTTTTTCTTTTTTTTTTTCTTCCCCTGAGCTGAAGCTGAATCTTGCCCCGCTGCCCAGGATTACCAGCATTTACCCAAACAAACCTACTGGTATCCACAACATTCACTTTGCAGCTGCAAGATGCATTCTGATGTCATCAGATTGGCTTTGCTATAATCTTTCCCTTTAGCAGAAAGGCACCTCCAGCCTCACTGATCCCAGACCATCCTTTGGCCACCTCTGGCCAGTGTCCCATCTCTTGTAGGCATTGCAGTGCCTCCTGTAGCTGTGGCAGATGGGCTGAGAGAACAGCACAGCGGTTTTACTGGGAGAAAGTCTGGCCCTCAAATAGTTGTTAGCCTGAGAAATGAGCAGTGGTGAATGTAAACCAAAATGAGGATGGTGTGATTGGCTAGGTCTCCAAAGCAAGCTCCCAAGAGATGTAGGGGGGTTTGGCCAGTGACTAATGGTGAGAGGCTGTTTATGGAGACACACTAGTTGGATGAGCTGTCAGCCTCCCTCGTAGGAAGGTGGAATGAAATTCAGCATTTCTTCTGTTGAGCAACTGCTTTTTTTTGTTTTGTTTTGTCTTTTTGGGAAAGAGATTTTTCACTTCCTCCTGTTATTTTCCTGATGTGGCTGTTTACCCGGCAAAGAGTGTTGACCTCTTTCTAATGGAAGACTTAACCCAGCCTGAGGGGTCTGTGTGAGTGCCGAGGCCAAAGCCCTCTCTCTCTCTCCCCCCGCAGGTCTTCCCCAAGAGTCATGTTGTCAGTGCACTCAAGACCATCTTTGAAAAGAACGTCATGAGCTTTGCTGGTGGCACCATGGGAGCGGTGAATGGCATGAGACCTGACGGGGTGCCCGACACCTCCAGCGTGCAGTCCAATGAGGTCTGGATCGGTGTGGTCTACGCCTTGGCTGCCACCATGATCCAGGAGGTGAGTGGTGATGCTGCACCCCTCGGTATGTGCCATCTCCTTGCATGCTGTGGATGGGCTGATGGTTGTCTTCCCTCTGCTGCAGGGGCTGGTGGAGGAAGGCTTTCATACAGCGGAGGGCTGTTACCGGACAGTTTGGGAACAGCTGGGCATGGCTTTCCAGACACCGGAGGCCTATCGGGAGAAGAAAGTCTACCGTTCGCTGGCTTACATGCGGCCCCTTAGCATCTGGAGCATGCAGCTGGCCCTGGAGCGCAGAGCTGGCCAGGCACCAGCACCCGCGGAGCCCCCCCAGGTCCCCCTCCACCCTTGAGCCCGGTGGCACTGAGCAGGGCAGTGGGTGCAGCAATGGGCTGGGGGGCCCTCAGCTGGTGGGTAGGGACCCTTCCCTCCCCTTCTTTGATAATACTCACATTGCTGTTTTCCTTCCCTACCTCCACTACATGCCCTTCACCTCAGGGGGCTTCTGGCCACCGATGCTGAGCATGAGGGGGACCAGAGGTGTGGGTGATCTCTCCTTAGAGAGGAGAGGGGTGGGATGAGGAGGTGCTGCTGGAGTCTGTGCCTCCCCTTCACCATTGCTCAGGGCTCTGACAGCCTGCAGGCCCCCCAGCCATCCTCCACCAGAGCTTGTACCTTGCCCAGGAGCAAGGAGCCCTCTCTCCTGCAGTCAGTGGGCTGGATAAGGTGGGAGCTGACCTGCAGGGCAAGAAAAACGTGTGGGTGTATGTGTGTGTGAGGACATGGGACTGGTGCATGCAAGCACGTGGATGCTGTAGTTGTCCCTCCGTTGTGTGACACTGCAAACAGACTGGCTCTGCCTGAAGGCACCAGCCCCAGGAGAGCCTGTGGCAGAAACAATCCCTGGGGGAGCCCCGGCCCCCCAGCCCCTGACAATCTGAGCCCAAGCAGCAGGTCCTGGTCTGGTACTGTAGCACCCCTCCCTGCTGGTGCCGGGGGTGGGCAGCGGAGCACATTTTAGGGGATGAATCATTTTAAGTTCTTAATAAATTTCTCTGGCTGTCTCTCCTTCTTCTTGTGTGCCTTCTCTGCCATGGGGACAAGCTGTAGGAGGGAGTCCCTGTTCCTTCCCCTCTTCTTCCTGGGCTGGGGATGTAGCAGGGGCAAGCCCTAATTGCAGGCTGGCTATTATGGGGTTTTGCTAATGGCAGCAGGATGTGCCTCCCCCCAGACGTGATAGCAGAACAGACCTGTCCCTTGCTCTCTCTTGCTTCCTTGGAAGGCAAGGAGCCTAGCATTCCTCCTGAAAATGGCTCTGTGGGGAGCAGTGGTGCCAAACGGTGTCCCCTCCTGCCCGGGCTGGGTGCCTTGGTTTATTTTCCTCCTTTCTCTGCCAGCGTGGCATTTGAAGGCTGCACCTGCCCAGTTTCGAGGGGGTGGGGAGAGGCTCTGCCCCCAGGTTTAGCGACATGGTCTTTCTGCCCGCGTCAGAGCTTTTTGCTCTAAAGCCCTCCCTTAATCCT